GGGGGCAGCGCTGTAGTCGTGGGCTGGGCCGCACCCCAGCCAGTGTGGCTGCTGCCCTGGTGATGGCATGGGAAGCACACTGGGGTGGTGCGGAGAGCATGCCGGTCACAGCACGGGCAGCGTGCTGGTGGCAGCATGGGCAGTGCACTGGTGATGGCCAGGCAGTGGGCCAGAGACAGCAGGGCCGTGTGCTGGTGACCAGTGCTGGGGATGGCACTGGCAGTCATGCGCTGTGTGGGAATTGTGCCGCGCATGCTGTGAGAGCATGTGGTGACAGTGTGGGCTGTCACAAGTGTGAGTAAGGACCACAGTGCAGGGAGCACAAATGCAGATACAGAAAAATGTGGCTTAGAAAATCTGGGGGAAACATGCAGGAAGGAAAACAAGATGTGATCTTTTAAAGTATATTAGGAATGAGAAGGTCTAACGATGGCCCTGTCTGGTACTGGACTGGGATGTGTGTTCACATGTTTACACGAGTGGTATTTTCATCAGTGTTTTTCTTCTCTGGAAAGAGACAAGATGAGGCACTTGCATCATGTAGTACATGAAGTGCTTCCCGGTCTGTTCATCGTGGGAAAATGTAAAACACCATCTGCTAAGGAGGATAAATAAAAATTAATATATCAGATGGCTTTCATACAGGAGTGCCAGAAGAGCTGTCTAGGGAGGTGTCTGCCCCATCCTGATAATTTCCAGTGAGTCTTGGATTGCTGGGGAGATTCTGGCTGGAATTTGTGCTTTTTGCGGCCAGCAAGAGCTTTCTGACGGTGCAGTCTGATCTCCTGAAGCAGGCAGGCCTTCTCTCAGACCTGCTTCCCTTCAGCTCCAACTGCAGTGGAGCATCTGGAGAGCTGAAGAGCTTTCCTCTCCCGCCGTGCCCAAATGTGTGTCCCCATGAGTCACCCCTGGAGCCTGCCGTGTCCCTGACTGCCAGGTGTGGCTTTTCTCTCCTCGGGATCACTGGTGGGCTGAGGCTTTCTCCTGGGGAGCTGAGTAGATTGGGCTTCAGGATTCTGCTGCTCACAGGCTTTCCACCTGTGTCTGTGTGTGTGGCTCCTTGACAGACTTGCTCTAGTTTATCAGCATCCTTCCCACACCATGGCCACTTCTCTGGCAGCATCTGCAGCCAACACAGAGATCACCGAATCTCCCCAGTCCTGCCGGCACTTTGCAGTGATTCGTCTGGGGCTCTCTGTTACACTGAGTTACCAGTGGCATTGCAGAGGACACTCATGGTGAACTAATTGCTCGTTATGTTATGTCAGACATCGTATCTTCTGTATGCTTTTACATAGGTAGGACTTTATGATTGACTGTTTTAAGAAGTATACTGCTTGCTGAAGCCCAGCTTAACAGCCAGTTCAGATCACTCCGAGTGCTGTATTTCCTCCTTTATTCTCCACTCACTTGGTCTTTGCAACCTGTAGACTGCACAGGCCCAGCATCCTGCCACGGGTTCACTCTCGCCCAGCTCTGCTTCCCGCCCTGCCAAAGCTCTGCTTCAGTACCTACAGTTTTCAGCACTCTGGGGCTTTCCACCTGCAGGGCTTGGCAAAAATCTTGCAGTCGCAAAGAGTTGCTCTGACAGGCCTTTTGATGTCTGTGGATCAACATTAGCGTGAACCTGTTAGACAGTGGAGTGCCTGGGTGTAGGCGCGCGGGAGGGGACTCCTCTGCCTCATGCTGCCTCTGTCTCCGTGCGGGGAGCAGCTGTGCAGGACTTGTGCGCTGCTGAAGCAGTGCCTGAGCCATCCAGATGTGTCCTGGGGCTCTGCAGCTGGAGGAGCAGCTTGGCTGGGATTTGGGTCCTCACGCGTACACCCCTGCGCTGGTGCTGGACAGGCAGCAGGGCGAGCGGGTGCCTCCAGCCTGTAAGCCTCTGGCTGTGCTTGGCTGAGGAGTGAAAAAGCTGGTACAGCTTTCCATCATAACCACAGAAGGGGGCAAGTATGTAAGTAATGCATGTTACTGTTGATTTATAAGGAATTGGCCGCAGTGTGGGGAAAGGGAGACCAGGGCAGGCAAGGGACAGCCTGGCACTTGTGAGGAGGCTGCAGCCCCCGTACCCAGGGCAGACTGGGGCTGGAGCGCTGTGTCCTGTGCTGGTGTCTCACTGGAGGAGAGAGGTAAAAATGCAAGAGTGCAAAAGAGCCCCAGTGAGACCCAGTAGCTGCAAGAACCATTGTAGCACGATAGCTGTGAAGGTCTTGACCTGTTCAAGTGATCAGAGTATGATCTGGGAATGGTGCAGAAGATGTATAGGAACTGTTGGTGGAGCCAGGCCAGCCTGCAGATAGGACATGGCTTTTCAAGGGAATGATATGGGAGGGTCCGCAGTGGTGAGGGCTCCCCGGATGTGTGTGGTTCCCAGAGAGGTACCCCGGGATGAGTGCCCCAGGCTTGACTGTGCATGGCGCTCTGCTCCTGGACACTGATCTTGGGGGAGCAGTGAGGTGCCAGCACTCCAGGGTGTCTCTGCTGATCCTGCTCCACAAAGACCTCTCACAGCAGAGGCGCAACTAGCTTGTACCTATCTGCTTCATCTGGAGTCACTTGTCACAACAGGCAACCTTGCAGCCTGTGTGTGTGGGCTGCAAACAAGTTTGGTTCTTGATTACACAATTAGAAGCACAGCTGAAGAGAAAGGGAGGAGAAACCCACCCCGAACATGCTTACACAAGATGCTAAGTGCTTCCACAGGTCTCACTGCAAGCCCTGAAGGAGCTGCTGCAAAGCCATGGGGTTGGTTTGGCCTGATGGAGCCCCACAGATGGACTCCAGGGCTGGGGCCACCTGCACCCTCGGGGGCTGTGTGGAGCAGCAGACTGCTGGGATTCTCCCTCCATCGCTCTAGCCCCATCCTCTGTCTCCTTGGCCATTTTTTTCTCTCTCTCCCCCCCTCCTGCGGAAGCTACTCTGGCCATTCACCCCTCCTCCACTCCTTGCCCACGACATTGAGCTTTTCATCATCACAGGAGTTTGTCACGTGTTTGAAACAGGCTGTTTAGGCTAAGCTGGTTCCTCCCATGTGCTTTTTCTGCAGCAAGGATGTTAACCCATCTCCCAGGAGGCAACGTCCTGCTGGTCTCCAAGACTTTCTCGTCCAGATGCACACTATCTTTCTGAAGGTCGCTAAGCAACACAAATCATTAGGCTCAGCACTGGGAGCACTGGGTGACATTGATGTCTGCCTGTGGCTATCGAAAGTATGCAGGGCAGGGCTCCCTGTGCAGGGGAAGAGCTGTGGCCCCGCAGTCTGGGGGGCTCTGTGCGAGCAGAGGCTGGAAGCCTGAAGGACACGGTGCAGCTCTGGGGAAGGAGAGGGCACTGTGTGCCAAGGAGCCCTTGGTATCATGGGCTGGCACCGGCCCAGGTGCTGCTTTGCAAAGAGCCTGTCTGGAGCCTCGGGTGACCCCTTGTCTTTGCTGCACAGGCTGAGACGCTGGGGCCTGAACTGCTACGTGTACGCGCCCAAGGACGAGCTGAAGCACCGGCTGCTCTGGCGAGAGCCCTACACAGAGCATGAGGCAGGTAGCGGCTCTGCTGGGACCCAACATGGGTGGGCAGCAGGCGTCCTGGGTCCTCGAGGGTAAGGTATGGTCTGCGTCTCAGCCAGGGTCAGGCTGGCTGTCACCACTCTTCCTGCCAGGAACTTGCCCATTGCAGGGAGCCCCACAGGCCTTGCCTATTGCAAGGAGGTCCCCAGACCCTGCCCATCACATGGAATGACCTAGGAACCCACCCAGCATGGGGAGCTCCCCACGTGGGTCTCCAGTGATATGCTCCAATGTGCCAGGGCCCACAGACCCTTGCAGAGAGTCCTCTGTGTCCCAAGGGACTGGAAACTGTCTCCCCATGGCCTCTCCCCACCAGATGCTCTCTCATGCCTCCTGATGCCCGCAGCTCCTTCCTTTCGGGCCACTGCAGTTCCCTCTCCCTCCATCCCTTGTGTCCCTCCGTCCTGTGCACTCACAGCACTCCCTCTGCATTGTCCCCAGCCTGTATGCGGTCTCTCATCGAAGCTGCCCAAGAGCAGGGTGTGGAGTTTGTTTTTGCCATTTCTGCTGGCCAGGACATAGTGTTTTCAAGTGGTGGAGATCGGCTCCTGCTGCAGCAAAAACTCAGGCAGGTACCGTGGGCCATTCCTTCATCCCACTGCTGCCCGGCGAGGGGCACGCGTGCTGGTGCGTGGGCCCCATGCCCACCCCAAAGGCTGGTGCGGGGCTGTAAACCCTCCTGCGGCTGAGCATCAGGGAGCGGCTCTGCGGGGCGCGCGGTGGCAGACGCGCTGTCCCTGTCACGGTG